CAAGATGACAATGCCAGGATTCATCGGGCTCAAATTGTGAAAGACTGGTTCAGGGAGCATGACACATTATTTTCACACACGGATTGGCCACCACAGAGTCCAGACCTCAACCCCATTGAGAATCTTTGGAATGTGCTAGAGAGGGCTTTGCGCAGCGGTCAGACTCTACCATCATCAATGCAAGATCTTGGTGAAAAATTAATGCAACACTGGATGGAAATAAATCTTTTGACATTGCAGAAGCTTATCGAAACAATGCCATAGGGAATGCGTGCCGTAATCAAAGCTAAAGGTGGTCCAACAAAGTATTAGAGTGAGTGACCTTTTTCTTTGGTGGTGACTTTTTTGTGTTATATGGGGTAAAGAGAAAATTATGTGTCTCTGCAAGTCATCTAGGAGTCTTCAGTGAAATCATAGATAAATAACTATTTTGATAACAGCTTATTAAATAATCAATTTATGTAGATATTAGTACTTGTAAATATCAATTTTGTGCAGAATGATTAAAGTAGGTAACTAATGACAATGGAAAAGATGTTCGCCACAAAGCTCAAATTGAAAAGAATTTTATCCACTATACCTTTTATCTAGAAAGCTCCGATGTTTGAATATATTTGTCTATTTGTAAGCAAAGGCTGTGGGAAAGTATAGTTTGTCTTTTCTGGCTACGCCTCTGCCTTTTCTGCTGCCAGGGGCCAGGCAAACAACAGCGTAGAGGAGCCGATGCTACCACAGAGTAAATGAGGGTTTTAATCAGGGGCTGGCTCACTCCAAAGGACCTCAGACTTCTCAGGAGGTGGAGGTGACTCTGGACCTTCTTGTACAGGGTGTCTTGCTTTGCTGTTCCCAGTTTGTTTATTCCTTGATTCTCTTTGGTATTATCTTTCATTCCTTCTTAGTTGATGTGCTCCAAAATGATAAATGTTATGCTTCTATTTCCCCATCTGACCCACAACAAGTTCTCTAAAAGTAAGCCTAATCTCCAAGTGAAATTATGAATTGTTTGTATTATTTAAAAAAACACCTTCTGTGACATCCATATATTATATTACATAGGTTTTACGGGTAACTACTCTACAAACAAAGTTTAAGTAAAAAACTATTATATATTATTTTTTAAATGAATTCTAGTTTAGAAGAGGAACATGTCAGATAAGAAGAGGCTGTGTGTTTATCTGACATGAACACATCATGTGTGTACATAATGTGCAGTTTGGGATGAAAACAGTAGTAAGCTGATGATCAGGGCTCAGTGTCTAAACGTTTCCATTAATTCACTAATCCTGATAGGAGACAGGCAGTCAGTGCAGCTTCCACTCATGTTTACACAAGAGTATCTAATGGAGCAGAACATTTAGTCTAAAAAAAAAAAAAAAAAACCCGGGGAAGAAAAGAGAGAACGTACTTTTGACATTTAGTCAAAAACAGATAAAGAAAATAAAGCGATACAGCGCCACCAAGCGGCGAACGCTATAAGAGCAACTTAGATTATCAATTAGAGGAGATAATAAAATCGACCACTAGGTGTCAGCAATAGACAACTTCATTCCACTGTTTGGTTGAACCGTCTGAAAACAGTGGCAGGAGGCCACTGCATTCAGTCATCTATTAAACATG